TTTCCAAAAGTAGCCATTATAATTTTCAAAAAAATAGTCTACACTTTAAGTTTTAAAACAAATCTCTGATACCACTTGTAAAGTTAGGACAGGTTATTAAACCTATGCAAAAGTCCCAAGGCTAACCAAGAGGGGGGTGAATTGGTAATTTTAAAATTTTTCTCTTAAATTTTAATAGAAAACCGATTCTCTTAATTTTTGTGAAAATATTTTTTCAACCAAAAATAAAAAAAGCAAAAAAATAAAAGTTTGTTCGGTCCAACAAGACCTATGTCCACTACTTTAAGACTCCATCTTTAGGTATTTCACTATTATCAAAGTGACTCTCTTTTTTCCCCCACATCAAGGTAGAAAAGCCTTTACAATTTTTCTCTCTTCCACCAATCCCAGGTGTGGTAGAGTACTGTCATCCTTTCACACCCTCCAAGTGTCGGTAGAGTACCATCATCCTTTCACACCCTCCAAGTGTCAGCAAAGTACCTTCATCCTTTCACACCCTCTAAGTGTCAACAGAGTACTGTCATCCTTTCACACTCTCTAAGTGTCAGTAGAGTATTGAATCGTCTTCAAAGATCTTCTCTCGAACAACTAGAAAGAGAAAGTAAGAGAAGTAATAAAAAAAAGAGATTCTTACCTTTAGGTAACCTTGTGAAACCTTCACACTCCACATGCAAGAACTCTCTCTCAAACACTCTCCCAAAACTCTCTTTCACTTGCTTTCAAAGAAAATATAAAGAACCGAACTGACCAAGTCAGTTTCTAAGGACTTTTTATATGAAAGACAAGAAAAACAGTCCAGAAAATAAAAAATTGCCATTTTGAGCGAATACGATCAAACATTATGATCGTAATTCATACGTATAAATAGTTCAAAAACTGCTATGGGTGAACCTGTATGAAATATTTTCATACATGATAATCTTCCAGTATGAATAATGTTCGTATTGTATGAACTATTAAGAAAATTTTTCTGATTCGTCGAGATGAAATGGTTTCTCATATTTTCATACTCTAGACATCGTCTGTATGAATAAGACATTGTATAGTACAATTCATTTAAAAAAAAAATTAGCATTCATTGGGATGAAAAGGTTCCCCACATTTTTATACTCTATATGTCATTTGTACGGACAAGGTATCATATAGTACGATCCATTCAAAAAAAATTGGAATTTATCGGGATGAAAAGGGACCCATTCTTTTCATACTATGGACATTGTCTGTATGGACAAGGTATCATACAGTACGATCATTTTAGAAAAAAATCGAGATTTGTCCGGATGAAAAGGGACTTATTCTTTTCATACTCTCGACATTGTCTGTATGAAGAACACTTCTTATAGAATGAATAGTACTTGGAGGAAATAGCTGAACAAATCATCCCGTACGAAATGAAATCGTACAGTTTTAAAAATTAGAAATTTTACACACTCCCCGAGTGTGTGTGTACATAGTTACTCAATTACAATCACACTCTCTTAGGCTCAATAAAAATAAAATTACATACTCCATTTACAATCAACCCTAATTTAATCTGATTTAAAGCCTTTAACATTTTGGAGTAAGATTTTTCTGAAATATCAGTACACACAAACCACAAAAGTACTGTATCTAATATATTAGGAGAAACAAAAATTAAAATAATAAGATTTGTAATCATAAAAAACACATATGTTGTAATAATCTCAATGAATCGAAAAACTAGTTGCAACAATCTCAATAAGATCTCCACACTATATATGATTTACTATAAATAGTACAAGTATGAGATATATGGCCAATCATTCCACAAAAAAAAAAAAGACTCCATGAAAAAGATTTGCTAATCTGTGTATTATATTTTATATTCCTAGGTTTTGATATTTTAGGCTTCTGATCAGGATTGAAAAATTATGAAGGTGTGGGTGGTGTCATATTTTCCTCAAGTGCTTTCAGTTCAGCATTAAAATATTAGTTTGCACTTTTCAAAATAGCATTATCAACTTTCAAATAATGTTCTCTACGATCAAATTCATTCATAAACATTTTTAAATCATTTTCAAGTTTAGTATGTGATAATTTCAATAGTTCATGTTATTTGTTCTAATCATCAAACTCATCCAATAATTTCATGTGGTTGCTATCAATTAATGTGTGATCATTCTTAAGGATTTCATTCTTTTTTTGTAAATTTAAAAATTCTAGGTTCACCTTAGCATGCAATTTTTTTAGTTTCCGATAAGGAGTATGAATTTTCTCATAAACTTCAAATAAGTCATTGTAGGTTAAGTCGCATACCTCCACTTGATCTGATTGATCAAGCTTATCGTACATTAAACACAAGTTCATGACTTCCTCCTCTGCTTCTATCTCTAAGGAATCTACAGCTGAATCGGCCCAAAATGCACTTTGTAATCTCTTCTTGCCCTTCCTTACATTGGTTTTCTTCTCAACCTTCTCACTACTAGGATTAACTTTGATATTTTGGCAATTAGATTTGATTTGTCCTAGCTTCCTACATTCATATCAAATTACATTATTAGAAACTTTAACATTTTTATGGAACTTACCTTTATTCCACTACTGATGTCTCATTTGCTTCCTCTTAAGGAAGCTTCTGAATTGCCTTGTCATTAAGATAATATAATTTCATCCTCAAGCTGAGATTGATCACTATTTGAGTCATCCACTTTCAACGTAATATTTTTCTCCTTCCTCTTATCACATACATCAATCTATCTTTGAGTGACTCCTTGCTCGTAAGTAATTAGTGATCCAAGAAAATTAGCAATAGAATAAATATTTAAGTCTTTTGATTCCATTATAACAATCATCTTTGCAACATAAGCAATAGGCAAATAAAAAAAGAATTTTTTTTTTTAGCATTCGTTAGTTTCCTACCTAAAGCATGCAATGAGGTGACTATCTATGTGAAACGATTATACATGTCATTTATTGATTAATTCAGTTTCATGAGAAACAGTTCATAATCGTGTAGTAAAATGTTCAATCTAGATTGTTTCACCTCATTCGTTCCTTCATAAGTGATACTCTATCCCAAATTTCTTTATCAGTTCTACAAGTTGAGGCACGATATAATCTTCAAACTTAAGTGCACTGAAAAAGCTGTTTAAATATTTAGCAGTCAATTGAGCTAAATAATTTTCCTCAATAGTCCAATCAGTAAATGGTGTTCCAATTATAATGCCATCTACAAATTTAGTTGGTATAGTGTAGCTTTCTTGTACTAAAATTAATTTGTGATAATCAAGCGATTAAAGAAAAGTAGACATACGTGTTTTTCCAAAAATTGAAAGGGATGTTATCAAATAATGATGGTCTAGTGATCGAATATCTTTCGGGTGTGTTACAGTTTCCAAAAGTAGCCATGGTCATTTTAAAAAGTTATCTAAACCTTAATTTTCAAAAGTAGGCTCTGATATGACTTAAAAGTTCGAATATATTGTTATACCTATTAAATCTATCCCAATGCTTACCAAGATGGTGTGTGAATTAGTAATTTAACACTACAGGAAAATGCGGTATTACCAGTGGATATAATCCATCATTAACAACAAAAAAATGCCAGAGATAACACCTTTCCGACACTTTTTCGACACAAATTTTTCCAACCGTAATTCACGCAACGAAAAGAAAATGCCAGTAAATTTTTTTTCATCGGAAACATTTTCGATAGTTTTTCCAGTGAAATGCTGGAAAAAAAAACTCAATCGACACCTTTTCCATTGCTATATTACTGCATAAGATACATCGATATTTCCAATGGAAAGTATACTCTAGAATTACCAGTGCATAATACACTAGCTAATAAACGTCATTCCGTTACCGGCATATGGTACCATCATAATTTCTGCCAGAATTAACAGCATACATTTTCTCCAAAAATATCATGTATCATATTACCATTATTATTTCCAGTGGAAAATCTGCTGGAAACCTGTAGCATAAATAAAAAAGACAACCTTCCTCCTTTTAAAACCGATTTTCATAATTAAACCTGCATAGAAAATAATATAACAACATTATATACATTCATACAATCACTTCAGATGATCAAGAACATAACCAACTACATTATCAAACATAAACATTTAAATAATAATATAAATAAGAAAAGTATCATCAACAAATATCAAATTATAAAAAAGTCAAGATGTACAATAAACAAATAACTAAACATGTCTAAAAACACATAAATATAGATGTCCACATCAGTAAAATAAATAACTTCTACTCTGATTCAATCTCCTCCTCAGTTGATGTTATACTCCTCCAACTACTCATCTTCTCTCTCATATTTCGCATTTCCTCTTACATTTGAGCTTGTTGTATCTACATCTATAGCTGCATCTCCAACTGCAGTTGCTGCATCTGCATCTATTGTTGCTGCACCTGCATCTGCCATTCAGCTTGTGCTTTCCTTACCTATTCTAGCTCGGTTGTAAGAGCAGCTATCTGTTGGGTATATAAAGACTCCAGGTGTTAGCTGAGAAACTGGAGCTACCAGATTTTGTGCTTCTTTATTAAGTGACACTTCTATATATTGTTCAATTTGTGCTCCACTTGCATCATGAATTTAGTTCTCAAGATTAGGTCAGATATTTTCTTCCTCATCTATATTAGCACTTGTTGATGGGCCAAATCGAGAATCGAAATATGGCTCATACTCACCATGAGAAGTCCAATACCCCTATTCTGGCATGAAGCCTCGATGGTATAGATCAATAGTTATGTCATCTAGGGTTAGGTGCACCTGATTTTTATGTTTAGAATATGGGCAACGAAACTTTCCATATGAGATAAAGCTGGGCAGTTGAGAAGCTGTTTTAATGAAAATATTCACCCCTCTAATGAACTCATACATTAATGTCTTTCATCATTGCGCCAATCGATTATACATCAAACTTCTTTGAGTTCTGATATCCATACACACAATAATGACTAATACAGTTTACTCAACATCACTATATATATATATATATATATATATATATTCCTATTATATATAAAGCCGAACCTAAAATGATGGGTTGCATAGATATTTTGTTTCTTGCTGGGCGGTTCAAGTAGCCGTCAGGCGATAGCCGAACATAATAAGCTCAGGTACTTCGGCGACTTCATTAATCAACTATAAACAAATTAAATAATTTTAAGCAGCACTATCTTTCGCAAATTCATCTTCCTATCTCCTTATTATTTTCTTCTGGGCTCTACGAACTGCAGAAATTTGGGGTTGGTTTCGCATCGGATCCATCCGATGAACTCCTCTCCGTTCATGGACAAACAGATCATGGGGCTTTTCGGATCGCCGGCGGGGATCGGAGAAATTGGCGCTGGCGGCGGCGGGGAATCCTTTGATCTGATGAATCCTCAGGAAGAGCGGCGCGACAACGGCGGTGTACTGAAGAGGGAGGAGATCCTTCCCAGCTATGATTTCCAGCCCATCCGTCCCGTGTCGTCGTCGCCGACAAGCTCTGGCGATGATGCGAGCAGACTTTCTCGGTTCACATCAGGGCCTCTCTTTCGAGTAAACCTCTCTAATTGCTGCTCTTGATTTTCAAATTAGTCGATTTACCTGCTTTGATTTGATTTATGTGTATCGCGTACTTTTGTTTTGAACTTCTATTTTGATATATATTATCTCTTTGGTATTCCGTCGGATTGCCTTAGAATGATGGTTAAGCATTGTTGTGGAGGTGAATTTTTTGTAGACTTGGAGTTGGAAGATTAAAATTATTGTGGTCATTTTGAAGAATTTTAACATCTCAGTGTGCTATTTCTGGCATTATTCTGAAGCAGTTCGTTGGGGATGCCATGGTGTCATCTGCTGCACTATGAACATGGACCAGTAGTTTGAAGTGCCTGCTACATATGCTTAGGAATTTCGGAAGCCATTGCACGGATAATTTTATTTTTGTTTTTTTTTTATTTAATTCCTATTCATGCGTATGTTTTAGAGGAATCAAACAGCATAAAGAGCTTCTTCTCACACTTTTCTTTGGCTTTCAGATTATAAGTTTGAGCTCAACATCTGCAGTTGTTAAATGTTGACAGTACATCTATGCTTTAACCTTATGAATCAGGATGTGGATATGCAATATCAAACCCCTATGATACAGTACAATTCAGTTAGCTTAGCCAGAAAAGACTAAATTTTAATAGGAAAACCACAAGGGTTCGAACTGGGCTTCAAAGGACTGAAACGAACCAAATTTTAAGACTTTTGGATGAATTTTATGTCTTTCATTATATTTATCTTATTTTAAATTTGGTTGAATTATCCCTTTTTGGGCAATTTAACTTTAAATTTCAATTATTTGATAAGATTATATTTGAATTTGAATTATTTGGCCTTATCTTTGCAACCCTATTTTATAAATAGGGATTGATGACTTCTAGCTGATGAATGACTATTGACTATTGATGAATGAAATTTTGTGAGGCAAATTGAGTGTTTTCTCCTTCAATAAGTGTTGCATGAGGGTCATTCCAAGTTGTGGATATTGAGTTCTCTACCTCCTCTCTCCAAGTTGTGTATATGCGGAGTTCCATCCTTTTTCCTCTCTTCCCATTTTTCCCTCTTTTATCTTTCCTCCTTCATCAATTTGATATCATAGTTATTCATTATTCCCTTCACATCAATTTGGTATTAGAGTGGCATGTCAAAAAATTTATATCAAATTTTTGCATAAGCATCATATAATCCCTTGATTTTCCATTTCCATACCCGATTTTCTCAAAATGATGACCACCTATACTTTTCTCAGCATTCCAACCATAGCAGCCCCTCACTTAACAAAAAAAGATAAAAAGTGAAAAAGTTCAAGATTGTGAGAAAAAATCAAAAGAGAAGGAAAAAACAATTAAAAAAAAGAAAAAAATTAAATAAAGCATTAATGTAATTCTCATCTAGTTTTCTTAAATTTTATTATAAAAAAAAACCATTATCTCATCCATTACTTGATTTAACCCATTAACATTAATTTTGACATCAAAACTGAGGAGTCTATCATGTTCTTGATTTAATGCCCCTTTTATACATCCTTAGCTTGTCAAATTCTGTAAAAAAAAAAAAATGCTGTAATTTAAGATTCCCATCTTCTCACCTCTAGATCTTATCTTTACACGTGATTCCATCAGTTCTTTTAGTGGAAATCATATTATCAAATACATATATTTGCCCCAATGCCACACCTTCCTATTCAGTTTGCACTGTAATCACTCGCAATTCATCTTTTCCAAACTATAGCCGTAAACCCTTCCAAAGCAGAACTTGTACATGTGTTGCAGCTTGTGCATGTGCGCTCACTTGCTAATCCCTAACAACAACATATGACGCTTTCTCATATCCACACTAAACCTTGTTTCTCGCACGATTGATCTCTTCTATGTTCGCCTCCCGAGGGCACTTGTATTGCATCATGTGCTTGTTCATCTTGACTGTGCAATTCTTGGCTTCTTTACTCTCATGTGACGACACCCTACATGCACTTGCTTTTGCTTTGACCCCAATCATTAGAAGAGCTACAACTTCCATTAAATCTGTAGAAGACCTGTATGCATCCTTTGTCCCATTTGTGATTCACCCATAATCTGTGCTTGCTGGCACATCTTCTCAAGTTTTAATGGCACCATATTATGATAGATAAAGGACATCAATTTATTATTGTTGTAGTCTTTATCATTCTCATATTTATCTTTTAAAATATTATACTTGAGGATATTGATATCATCTTTTCAAATATCTTCACCCAGACACATATAATGATGAATATAATTCTATGACTCACATGCTTATAATGACGCATTGCACGAAAAGCCTTGAGTCCACATTGTTAAATTTATTGATGGGTTATGCCATGTGGTAAACAACTAAGATTTATAGTTTCATCAAGTTTCATAGAATCTTTTACACATACACCGCAAATTGATGTAGTATAATTCAATTAGTTAGCCTAGAAAAGACCATATTTTTGTCATACAACCAGAAAGTATTGAACAGGCTATGAAGAAATTGAACCACACAATTTTTTCAAATACTTTTTAATCGTAATTTTTTTAATGGAATTTGATTATTTCAGATTTATTATAATGATGAATATAATTCTATTACTCACATGCTTATAATGATGCATTGCACGAAAAGGCTTGAGTCCACATTGCTAAATTTATTGATGGGTTATGCCATGTGGTAAACAACTAAGATTTTTAGTTTCATCAAGTTTCATAGAATCTTTTACACATACACCACAAATTGATGTAGTATAATTCAATTAGTTAGCCTAGAAAAGACCATATTTTTGTCATACAACCAGAAAGTATTGAACAGGCTATGAACAAATTGAACCACACTAATTTTTCAAATATTTTTTAATCGTAATTTTTTTAATGGAATTTTGATTTTATCAGATTTATTTTATTTTTTAAATGCATTGTGTTATTCTTTTTATATAGTTGCTTAAATTTCAATTATATGACTAGATTTTAAATAGGATTATTTTCATATTTAAATTATTTGGCTTTATATTTGTTACGCTATTTTATGGCTATGGATTGATGGCTTGTTATTGAAATTGATTATTAACTATTGATACATGAAAATTTTTGTGGTCTATTGAGTGTTTTTTTCTTTTGGTTGAAAATGTGTATGCGAGTTGCTCTAATTTGTGTAAATGATGTTCTCTTCCTCCGCATTCCATGTTGTGTATGTTATGGTCTTTTCTTTATTTTTTTTCCTCTTCCCTCTTTCATCTTTCTTCCTGCAAATTGATAAGTCCTCTCTATATAACCTTGTCTTCTCTCTAGAAGACAGTGCATGATTTATTTTTGGCACGTCAATATTCTTTGACTGAAAATTGCAAATTCATTTGATTTGGTTACAAAATTTTCAAAATACTGTTCTCGCTAATTTTTTAAATATTGGTTTTGGTTTAAGATTTCTTAGAAATTACTGTAACAGTTGTTCATGGTGTAAGATAGGATACTTTTTTTTTGAAATAGTATTCATAATTAGTGTTGCTCTTGCATTTATGTATATTTAATCGCTAATATATAAAGGAAAAGTGTAGTATTTGTATTATTAAGAGCTTGTATTTAATCAGAATAGGCATGGAGATGACTAAAACACGCATATATAATACATTTCCAAGTGTAAAGCCAACTTCATACGTATATACATGGAAATAGAGAAATCTTGCGTATAAGGCTCCTACCAATAAATAATCTAGTGAGAGGTTGATATACACCACCCTCACTGCAGCATTGCAGAGGTGCTAATTCCCAGATTTGGAGGCATGATAATGGAAGTAACCTATGCATTACTCCTAGGATCGACCTCTCATACTTAATAAGAGACTAAATCTTTAGGAAAACGCAGACTGCAGGACATCGAATCTATCACATTAGAAATCATTTCAAGTTTGCAGCCATTCAATTCCTCTTATGCACAGGCATAGATCATTTAATAAAATTTTGCAAATATGTAACAAAGCAATTGAGCTTACATTATATGCTTTCATTGCACAAATGTTTGGATTGCGGCCATCATAAAAAGCTTAGGAGCTTATTCCAGGAGAACACTGGCCATTTGAACGTAAATGTGCAGGTGTATACACGGATATATGTTATGTGCATATCTTTTAATGTTTGGTGCAGATTTTGCTTGTTGCTTCAATTCTGTAGCATAATCTTATCAATTTACAGTATATTCCTTTACATTTGATACAGTTCAATCATCTCATTTATTGGACCCAAAATTGGGGAATATAAAAATTTTCTCACAACTTGAAATTTTCAGCTTAAATAAATATTAAAATATAATTTTCTTTTAGCTAGTGATGTTATGGATGTAGTTGAAATTTCTAGTGCAAAATCTTTGATTATAGGTCTTTGTTGGCTACCTCAACGGGCTGTTTATTCCATGTTGCTCCGATAACAGTGTAATTTAAACGTCATTTTAGTTCTTTAGTATGCTGTCCTCTCCTAGATTGTGGTAGTAGGAATAATATTAAAATTCCATATCTAGATAATTTCGATAAATATAAGATTAAGTGCTATGGACATGACATCAATTGGAAGGCTAAAATATGATGGGAGAAAAGGCTGGAGTGTTAACATAGTATTCTCTAAGCAAGGTAACACAAAACTAAAAATGCTAAATTTGATGAATACTATTATTATTAAAATAACATTATTATCCAAATAACATTGCTAGCTAGACATCTTTGCTATATCAATAAGTTTAAACCAAAGAACTTCCTAATTTATGTGTAGAAACTTGCATTGTTAATCTCATATTAGGTAATTTTGTTGCATATGATATTTTTGTCAAAACAATTTAATGCAATCATTATAATATCATGATGATGTCATGATCATTATCTCTGCTCCAATTATTTTTGGTCAACTTTATAATTTTTCCTTGATTCATTTTTTTCAGTGTTATATGAGATGTTAATTCTATTTTTTGCGTAATTTCTTATAGTATTATGATGCATTACACTCACATGAAGCTTCAAGAAGATTAAT